CGATTGTACCTGCACTGTTTATATATTATTATTATTATTATTATTATCATTATTATCATTATTATTATGATTATTATTATTATTAATATTATTATCAGCATCATTATTATTATTATTATTATTATTATTATTATCATTATTATTATTATTATTATTATTATTATTATTATTATACTAGGCTATCATTATCAGTATTTATATAATAATCATTTTCATTTTTGTTGTTGTTGTTATTATTATCATCGTCCCCATTATCATTATCATTACCATTATAATAATAATAATAATAATAATAATAATAATAATAATAATAATAATAATAATAATAATAATAATAATAATAATAATATTATTATTATTATTATTATTATTATTATGATTATATTATTATTATATTAGCATTAGCAATATCGTTATTATTATTATTATTATTATTATTATTAATATTGTTTTTATTATTATTATTACTCTTATATTATCATTATTATTATTATTATTATTATTATTATCATTATTATTATTATTATCATTATTATTATTATTATGGGTATTATTATTATAACCCTGATAGTATCATTACCGTTATTACTCACTTTCATCTTGGCGGCGAGCCGCGAGTCGTAGAAACACTGTCGTGTGGACCTAATGCTCAGGCACGCCCTCATCATGTTGACAGACTTCTGCACGTCCAGGTAAAACGCCTCCGGGGTGGAGCCAAAGCCCAGGAAGATGTAGTCGGAATACAGCCTGTGGGGGCAGATGGAATGCCGTGGGAACTGTTCAAGACGGTCACTGACGATGACAGACACAGCCGCCACTTTACAGGCCTGCAGAGGGATAATCCAAGCCAAAAGCAGAGACGAGTGGCTAAACAGATGGGCCAACGCAGAAACAGGAAGATCTCTCTTCGGGTACATGGAAAAACCCAACCCCAAAGACCATTCGAATCTCTTATGTAGTGCTGATCAGGACACTTACACACCAACAAGCACATAAATAGAATTAACCCCACGTGGGAACCCCATTGCAGACACTGTGACTACCACGAGGAGACCGTTGAACATCTTCTCCTTCACTGCCCAAACCTGGCAGTTCTTCGACGCAGGGTCCTAAACACACCTACAGACTTACAAAGCCTGCTCTACTCTGGCGCTGACCAGATGGCAAGGACATGTGGTTACTTGAGGGAGGCATTGCGTGCCAAGAGCGAAATGCTCGCAGCTAAAGGGGTTTGAAAACAACAGCACACACACACACACACACACACACACACACACACACAGAGAGAGAGAGAGAGAGAGAGAGAGAGAGAGAGAGAGAGAGAGGGAGAGGGAGAGGGAGAGAGAGAGAGAGAGAGAGAGAGAGAGAGAGAGAGAGAGAGAGAGAGAGAGAGAGAGAAACATGAGTAGCCTACCAGTATGAGGTACAATAATAATAATATTATTCTAATTCCTATAATGCCACTGCCTAATTAGTCTACTTCAACAGAACACAAAACTACCTGGAGAGCCGCTTTGTCGGCCTTGAACTGTGTGATCTGGCTCCGGAGCTTTTCATCGTCTGCCCTGAACGTCTTCAGCTCCCTCTTCAGGCACATGACGTCGGCTTGGGCGTGCTCGCAGGTCACCTTCAGATCAACTAGTTTAGACTGTAGGGAAGGGGTTGGGAAGGAAGGAAGCAAAGTCAGTGGCAATGACAATGACTATCTTTATTCCTCTCAGAGGGAGAAATTTGTCTTGGTCGTTTGCAATGGCAGTGGAATGCTACAATGGTTAGGTGCACTCACGCATGCGACATAACAAGACAGAACATTAGTAAATACACGCTGAAACAACCCACTCTGTAAAACATTCTCTCTCTCTCTCTCTCTCTCTCTCTCTCTCTCTCTCTCTCTCTCTCTCTCTCTCTCTCTCTCTCTCTCTCTCTCTCTTTCTTTCTCTCTCTCTTCTTCTGCTTCTGCTACTGCTTCTGCTTCTGCTACTGCTTCTGCTTCTTCTTCTTCTTCTCCTTTTTTTTTTTTGTAAGTGTTTTACGGCGCTCACAACACTGCACAAGGTCATGAGCGCGCAGGACAAATTTTTAAACATTTTCAGTGGGTAGGAAATTTTGAATTTTGCCCGGGTGGCGGCCGTCGAAGCCTACTCTTATCGATTTTGGACCACCAAGGGATCTGTAAAGTGTAAAGTGCGCAACTTGCACACGGGACCAACGAGATTTTTCACCGTTTTCCGAGAGGGCTAGGTGTAGATCGTTCCTGTCACTGTCATAAGATCAGGGGTGTTTCAGAACCTCCACACAAGACAAACCCAGCCTAGCCAAAATGAAAAGTAGAAAAATACAATACTTTGGTCATATAAAACACTGCCGCCAGGCCATTTTGAAGGAAGAACTCAAAGGCAAGATGTGGGGGAAAAGGTCAAAGGGTGGGCAATGAACAATGTAGACCGATAACATAAAGCTGATAAAGCTGTCCCCGTGGTTTTATGCACCCCGCATAATTTAGCAAAATTTGATCATTTTTTTTCATAATCTCTGATTATTTCATTTTTCATTCTTTGTTAAAATTGACAGAATCGCATAATTTCACATTCATGGGCTCAGTTTCCATAATTTAAGAATTTTTCTTGCATAAAACGACGGGGACAGGTAAAGCCATGGACTCTTCTTAGTACGACACAGTGTGTAGTATGACGGCGGCTAGCGACCGTGAGCAATGGTGGTTTGTCTCACGTCTACTTCTGAGCAAGAGATTATACCTTTATCTGTCTGTCTGTCTGTCTGTCTGTCTGTCTGTCTGTCTGTCTGTCTGTCTATCTCTCTATCTCTCTCTATCTCTCTCTATCTATCTATCTATCTATCTATCTATCTATCTATCTATCTATCTATCTATCTATCAGCTAGCGACCGTAAGCAATGGCTGGTCATCGCGTGTTGACCTCTTCTTAGCCAGAGATGGCACCTCCAGACATCTGGTTTCTCTTTCTCCCCCCC